GCTTATGCTAATGAAGCCCGGGAAATTCAAATCCCGGGCTTCATTTGCAAGTGCGGTATGCATACATTACCCTCCTAGTTCGAACTAGCGGGGTAGTGTAGACATACCCAGAGGCAGCAGCATGGGGGGGAAAGAGGGAGGCTGCTCCATGAAGCTGGTGCTCCTGGCTGAGCGGCGCCTCCCACCTCCGCTGCCTCTGTGGGAGGCACCAAGGCAGCTCCGTGGAGCCAGCTCCCTGCATGTACTGGCTTTCGCCTGCCCCCCTCACTCTCTACACTGCTGCCTACCAGAGGCAGTGGTGCAGGGGGTGGCTTTTGAGCCAGCTCCTGTCTTCCCCCACCCTTGCTACCTCCGATACAATTATTAATCATTTACACTACTATACGCTAACATTCTGGTCTCCCACAGCATCAGTAGACGAGAGGAACTATTTTAAGAAGAGGAGACTGCAAACTACAGACATTGGTGGTGGGGTGGAACTCCGAGCAGTTGTACCTGAAACTACTTTTAATTCCTTTTTTAAATTATTTTAAAATGGGAATGACAGATTCAGCTCTTCAAACTTAACATTTTATCCTGTAATAAGGTAACATGGGCTATGGCTTTCCTTGTGAGAACTATGCACTCCCTGTCTTTAAACTAAGTTGATGCGATTTTCCATCTGAGCCAATCTGGCTTCCTGTATATTCAATTTTGTGAAAGCTTTTTCAGAGGAGGATTTAGTTATCTTTGCTGCCTCAGGCACTCTTATTATCAGATATTTTCATTTTAGAGCTGATAGAATCCTCTTGCTGAAAAGTTTAGATTGAAACACACAGTCTTGGCCTTCCTGCTTTTTCCAGTTGCAGCAGCTTTTTTCTGGAATTAGAACCATAACTCATTCATCTTGAAGGAGAATGTGAACTCAAGTTTTAGGGCAAATTGGTCTCAGGCTTCAGCACTATTCAGGGACAGGTGACTAAAAGTCCCATTTACACTAAAATGCAAGTGTTTTGATCAAGTCAGAGACCAGCCATATAATAAATGGTGCAAATGAAGCACAGATCTTTCAACTCTTTCTTTATTCTGGGAAATATGCATCCTATTGACAATGTAGATATCAATTAGTCTGCACTTGTAATTGGACTTCAAATGAAAGTATCTCCATTTCTCCGACTCAGTCTGAATAGAAATGTGACTGAAGTAGCTCATGTAAGTTTTTATCCACTATATATATTAACAAGCATGAATAATTAAGAGATTTGGGAATATATCTATCCTTTTTAATATTTTGTAGACAGTAAGGTGAACTTTACTTATAGCATCATCTACCCTTGACTAAGTGTTTTACTCAGAAGGGATCCAAGACTACTTCTCAGATGTTTCCCCAAATGCATCTTATTTGTACTCTCATATAGCAGTCTACACCATAGCATCATATAATACATAAAACATGTTTTCTGGATAGTTGGGAATCCCATCTCCTTAGGAAAAAACATGACTGGAAAACTGACCTATGGAGGACAGCAAACTATGCTCTTTCCAGGGGAATGAGAACAACAACAACAGCACTCATCTATGAGGAAAAACCCAACTCAACAGAAATCAAAACAGTTTGCTGTGACCGCATAAGCACACAGGACAGATCCACTGAGGAACAGAACCACCACCATATCCCCAAACACAGAAAAAAGTGTCATCAGAAATTAGACTCCATCTATTTTGACATGTATGAAGAGCCAGAGTTTGCTACTGAAATATGTAGAAAAGGGTGGGGAAAAAACAGTTGCAGTGCAAGTTACAAGAGAAGCTTTGAGGACATTTAAATTAAAAACCACCCAAACAGCTATCACAATTTGTAATCCATGACTAGTTTATCAACTACTTCTGTTGATAAACTGGTCTGCGACTGAAGGGTACAATGTTATAGTTAAAAATTTTCTATTGCACCAGTATCCATCAGCTAAAAAATGACTGCCTCTGGCAGAATACAAATAAAGTCATTGCAAGAGATTGATCCTGTGACAATAATGTGCCATTCTTCTGATCTGACCACAACAGGTACTCATCTCTCAAATAGACACAACAAATGGGAGAGAATTTTCCAAAAATATTAAAGAAGCTTTAAAATATCCCAAAAATTTCAGATTTAATTCAGCGCCAGGCATATCTGGCAGTGAACTTTGTAACATTGTTAATAAAGTAACAAATGCTCATTTGTATTTTTAAAGATTAAATGAGAAGGAATCCACATACACCACCCGAGTCCAGAATCGCACTTTGTTAAAATTTAAATGGTCTGAGTTTTCCAACCCAATGAAATATTAAAGAAATGTCCATTCCACCACATTAAAAAAAATCCAGAAAAAGCTTTAATATACAATACTATAAGGTTAAAAAAAAAGAAAATGACACAGCTACAAGTAGAAAAATACACTGTAAGACAATTATAGGTTCCTTAAACCATGGAAGATATTATTACAAAATATTTTAGATTAGATCATTTTAATAACTTGTGGCATTTTCAGGAGATGAGAAAAAACAGAATTGAGACCAAACTTGTTTTCTTCAGGTAGAGTGTCCAGGTAGCAAATCCCAAGTTTGGTAGCTTTTAAACCCTCCCCAAAATGGTAGATACCGCTCTGATGCATCAGTTTCTGAAATATTGAGCAAACTGTTAAGAGATTGGCTAGGAAGTCAGCTAGTATCCTTCAAATAGCATACTATAGACAACCAGCCTTTTGTAGCTAAAGTCTTTGTGGATTCAAGTTGCCCCTAAAACATAGCACAAAGCTCTTTCCATCAATGATGTGATCAAAGGCATGGTGGTAATACGTATTTAAGTAATTCATATTTTTGGTTGCCCTTCTGACGTGCGTTCTCTAAATTGATACCAAGTTATCCAGAGATGGAGATGATGAAAACAGTCACTACAATTGGTAATTTTCTTGTCTAATAAATATTAAAAAAAATAAATGCGCTTTTCACATGATGGTGCTGGAGTCAGTTAAAACTCCTCTAGGTAATCTATTTTCCTTTTCACATACAGTAACCTCATATACAAAAATGTTATAACCTGACAGTACTGCCACTGACCAGCAGGTGGTGCTGATCTAAAAGGAATTATGGCATCAAACTCCTCTATCCCTCTTATCAGACTTTGAAAAATTACCCCCCCCCCCATAAGTTTTGAAAATGTAAATACAGGGTTTCTCCAAAGCTGCTACCACCAGAGTGGGAAACTGCTAGTTTATATAGCACTTGTCCAGATTAGACATAACATGGCAAATCATCTGTGTAAACAAGTTAATGGAAGACTGGTATGTTATAAGAGGACAGATTAATAGCTCATGAGCTTTTAATATTTTAAGAGATGACTACTGTGCTTTTTTCTAACCAATTTAAAAAGGCCCTCTCCAAATTGGCACCTCTTATGATGCTCAGAAATCCATGCAAACCTAAAAGAGCAGCACTGCCATTTCTGAACTCATGGGATTTTTTCTGAAGTTTGTCTTAACTAAAAGTTTTAGATTTGGTGCTTCCATTTGCTTTCTCATTTTTAAAAACTGGGACATACAACATATTTACACTATTTTTCAGAGTTTGCAGTAACAGTTTTACATCTAATCCCCAAAACCATGTTTCCTAGAAAGTAACATTTTTCACACCCATGGGGTCTATATGAATGTAGGTTCTCTTTTGTTCTGTGCATCAGGGGTTGCAAGAGTCTGATTTATTCCAATTGGCACTTATTGTTGAAAACACTCAGTGCGGGGAACTGTTACTAAAGTGTAATCACGGTTCCATCCTCTTCAATGCCTCCTCTGGGGATAACCAAACTATGTCGGGGATCAGTTTTTAAGGAGCTTAGTATTTTGTGGATGTTGCCATTGCTTTCTCGGCCAGAGTCACTGCTGAGAACCAGGTCTCTCTGAAGTCTGTGACTTAGACTGCTGCCATTGATTCGGGAGAGGCTACCAGAGGGGAGGCTGTGCGATCTGGGAACATGTTGTTGGTCCAGGCCACCCTCAATGACAATGTCAGCTTCGTCGTCACTTTCCATCTCATCAGGGTGGAAGTTCTGCAGCACATGGGAGGAAGGCAAACTATGGTGACTAGCTGTGCTATCTGTAGACTGGCCTGAGCTGCCAGACATTCTGCTGCTTCGGATATAATTGTTCCTTTGGTTTGCTGGCTTGACTGTGATAATAAGATTGTGGCTGTTGGCGATCATCATGTCCGTTACTTGGTCAAGAGTTTTCCCAGCCACTTCAATGCCATTAACTTCCAGGACCTCATCATTAACAGCTAGCAAACCTGTGCTCTCTGCTAAGCCACCAGGAACCATCCGAGAGATGAAAATACCAGGTACTTTATCCAGTCCATGAGGAGTTATTCTCATACTAGTCCCATCACGGATGTAAAATCCTAATGGTTTCTCACACCCGTGTCGATAGAGCCTCACTCTTCTGTGTGTTTCAGGAAGGATGTCCACATCAATGATGGAAGACACTGGTCTAAAATCATGAGGCATACTAATATTAATGTGGGGACGCCTGCGAATTTTGTCATTGCGGAGGGTCACTAGAGCCTTCTTTTTCCTGGTTAGCGTGTTGGTCCCAAAGTTACTGTAGTCTACTTCATCTGGAAAAGAAAATATACTGTTACATATCCATGTTATGAGTCATAGGCATGGGGGTTTATCAGCATTTATCTAGTCAGCAAATCTGGTTCAGAGAAGTGTCTCCCCCAATACAGAATGCCAATGAAGTCTACTGCTTACCCAAAAATCTCATTTCATATTTGTTACCATGTCACTCAGTTCACTGAATTACAACTTATACTTCTAATGGCAATCATCTTTTGCGAGATCCATTTTAAATGTTCAGTATCACCATCTCTTTTTGTAACATGAAAATATACACTATTGTAAGTTTAACACACAGTTCTGTACTTTCAGACAGATTTTCAATATTAGGGAATTTTATTTTATGCAGACACCTTAGGTGTGCAAAGACCAGATGTCTATATGCAAAATATCCACACATGCCTACCTCTGAAATCTGAATCTTGGGAGTATTTTATGTCCAGTTTACAGGTTTTGTAAGTTTGTGTTGGTACCTGGGATGAGAATGTTACTCTGTTTTTGTGACAAATGTGTTGTGTGTACATTTTGAAAGTGTTTAAACTTTCTTTGCAAAGTTGTATCCCAAGAATGCATGTGACTGATTCCAATCAGTAAAGAGATGCATAAAGATGTTTGATTATGGAGTTATATATTCTATGTAAAGAGTTCATGTGACTGAAAAATGGTCTGAGCACCACAGAATAACAGATGTATCAAAATCCTTTTCCTAGCACCCAATAAAAATATAGCAGAATATCATATTTTAACATAAAACATGTATCCATTGGAGAGATTTTTTTCATCAGAGGTTCATGAGGGCTAACATTTCTCTGACATACGTACTTAATAAAACTTGATTAATTCTACTGTTGGAAGACAAGCTTCTAAGATGTACATATGGCAAACAGTGAGAGACTAAAAATTTTTTTTTGCAAGTAC